TGAGGCAATGTACTCAGCTATAAAAACACATCTCCAAACCTCCTTTGTAGCTAAGGTTAGCCAGTGAGACATATGCAGAAGATGGGTGACCCAGTAGGAAAGTAGATATTTTTGCACTATCCCCATTCCTTCTTACTACCTGACATACAGATATAACATCTAGAGCTCCAACTGCCATCTTGGGATCATAAGACAATCTTACAGATAGGAGCTCCATGCCAAGAAGGTAGAATAGAAAGGTAGAAAGAAGCCTAGGCTACTAATAACCATGTACTGCCTACTTGTGGACTTGTTTTACACAAGGAAAATATTAGTGTATGGCTTGTTTAAGCCAGTTTTGGGGTCTGTTATTACTTGCAGCTGAATATAATCATAACTCATATAATCTAGATATTTAACACGCACAAGAATACACATGTAAGGCACTTAGCAATATTCATATGTAAATAAATAATTGGTGCTCAAAATATAAGAAAATTATAAATTAGCTTATCTATTAGTTAAAAAGATCCTGCAAGACTCTTCTTAGGCAATGTTTTTATGTATCCTAGATTATTACATTATTATTTACTTAGATTTTTGTCTGTTTCCTGGTTATTAAACAAAAGACTGGCCTAGGTGATTAGCTACAAAATTACAATAATCATAACTACTAGAATACATTTAATACATACTATATGCAAAGCATTTTACATAATAATCTCTAATTCTCACTTCAGTTGTCTAAGTTAGCTGTAATTATACCCAAACCACAGATGAAGAAACTAAGGCTCAAAGAATTAGCATACCTTGCTCAAGGGTTTGCAGTCTCTGCAAAGATAGTATTCTTCCATTGCACTACACTGCCTTTCTAAAGCTCTAATTCCATTATTCCATTCTCTTCATGTTTCCTATTATTTTCCAAAATAATAATTAACCAGGTGACTTATTTTATCTTAAGAGAGAGGGCTTGAGGTGTCACCTGAGGTAATCAAATCATGTTGAACATTACACTGGCCTTTCAGAGACTAACTCTTGAGTTACAGTATCATCCCAAAGAGTAGCTAGATGGATGAGAACTCAAATAGGGAGTATTAGAATACTGGGTAGGGCAACTAGAAATCTGCAACATGAATACCGGACAAGAATGGTTCCTTGAACATAAACAAATTTACAAGAAAAAAACAAACAGCCCCATCAAAAAGTGGGCTAAGGATATGAACAGACACTTCTCAAAAGAAGACATTTATATGGCCCAAAAACAGATGAATAAAAAGCTCATCATCACTGATCATTAGAGAAATGCAAATCAAAACCACAATGAGATACCATCTCACACCAGTTAGAATGGCGATCATTAAAAAGTCAGGAAGCAACAGATGCTGATGAGAATGTGGAGAAATAGGAACACTTTTACACTCTTGGTGGGAGTGTAAATTAGTTCGACCACTGTGGAACTATTCCACAGTGTGTGGCGATTCCTCAAGAATCTAGAACCAGAAATACCATTTGACTCAGTAATCTCATTACTGGGCATATACCCAAAGGATTATAAATCATTCTGCTATAAAGACTCATGCACACGTATGTTTATTACAGCATTATTCACAATAGCAAAGACTTGGAATCAACTCAAATGCCCATCAATGATAGACTGGATAAAGAAAATGTGGCATATATACACCATGGAATACTATGCGGCCATGAAAAAGAATGAGTTCATGTTCATGTTTGGAGATGTGCTTTTATAGCCAAGCACATTGCCTCATCAAAGGAGTTCATGTCCTTTGCAGGGACATGGATAAAGCTGGAATCCATCATCCTCAGCAAATTAAGACAGGAAAAGAAAACCAAACACTGCATGTTCTCACTCATAAGTGGGAGTTGAACAATGAGAACACATGGACACAGGGAGGGGAACCTCACATACTGGGGCCTGTCGGGGAGGTGGGGGGAAAGGGAGGGAGAGCATTAGGACAAATACCTAATGTATGTGGGGCTTAAAATCTAGATGATGGGATTATAGATGCAGCAAAACACTATGGCACATGCATACCTATGTTACAAACCTGCACGTTCAGCACTTGTATCCCAGAACTTAAAGTAAACTTTAAAAAAATAAGAATGGCTCCTTGGAGAATGGCAAGTGGCAATGGTTGTGGGTAGTGGTTTTGTGTGTGTGTGTTAGGGAATAGGCCAGAGGAATTTAGGGTTGTACCATAAAGCACCAGGGATTGACAGGGTGACAAAAATGTTTGCAACTGGCACAAGCACCACCAGCCAGCCCTTCCTCATAAAGTAGGCATGCATCTCATTTTATCTTAGTCCCAACTTTGCCCAGTGTCCAACTCCTCTTCCTTTGCACTTGCCTATGGTACACTGGATCTGAGATCCTACAAGATTGACAGGGGCATCATTAGAGCAAACTGTAATACTGCAATACCAAGAAAAGTACGCATTCCAAGTGAATTTGTGCCCTCCACTGTCAGACCTAGAGGATTCTGGGTATATGTTCCAGGGTTGAAATTTCCTCCCTTTTGGGAAGTGATTTGAAATTCAGGGAGGAAAAATCACAACATGAAATATCATCAAACAAGACATATGCTGTCAGCCTTACACTTCATCATAGATTGCTCGTTGAATATTTACAAACAATTTCTGCATGTAGCTATGATCCAAGATGGGGAAATATTTACAGTGGCAAACTTTATTTTCATGGGCTCATAACATTGCTAGCAGTGGCTCCCAATTTTACTGATATTTCCAAAGTTGTTTTCAAACACAGAGGTCAAATATTCAAAATACGTGAAAAAGCCTTTTAGATGTTTTAACTTAAGACATATGTACATAATTAAATATAAAATCATTGTGTTGAATGTTTTCTATGCTTTAACATATTAATAATAGTTCAATATCATGACTACACAGGGATCTCCAGGGTACTACTTTAATATAATGTTAACAAGTACCCTATCAAAACCTTACATCCTGTACCTGCTCACTGAAGAAAAGGAAAAATTGAGAAATATCTGCAAATAAATTTGCTCCAGAGTCTCCAAATAAGTCTCTGGTAGTAGTGGATTTAGACTTCATGTTTAAGTTAAGCCACTGAAAGGAGAATAACACAAAACCATTCATAAAGCCTTCTTTCATCAAAGAGTAAGGCTCAGGTTCTCAGCGGTGATGAAGATCCTGCCTCATCTGAAGGAGTTATTTAGAAACTTGGGAATTATCTTCTCTATTTTAATTCATATGAAACCTCAAGATTCCTACTTATTCTATTTGTAAATTGTAGCACTCTAAACTTAAATAGAAAAAATGGGGGGAAAAAAGTCTTGCCGAGTGAATTTTTCTTAAGGATTTTTGTTCAGAATTCACAAAGTAAATACATTTCTTCCAAGATAACTAGCGCGACACCCTGAGTTAACAACGACAGTTAGTTTCAGAATAAGCAGTCGAATACCAAAAAACAAAATATATGTGACGTATAAAGCACTACATCAACTTATGAAGATTCTGGTAAAAGAAATAACATGCTACCAGTTTGGGGATCTGGAGAGTACAAAAATCCCTCCGGCACTTTGAAAGAACGTTACCTGGAGACTTGCACACAGTAAAAACTCAGAAATATTTGTTGAATCTCTGAGTGCTGTTCTCAGGAAATCTCAAATATCACAGTTTAGTTTGGGACAGAATAAATTCCCACAACTTTTAAACCATGAGTGTTTAAAAGTTCTTTTTATACCTGAATACACCCCAGTATCTAATGCCTTTGGCACATTGCCTACACACCCATTGGTTTATTTGGGGGTTCCTGCATTGGGGTTAGGGGCTCAAATGTAGGACTAAATGACCTCTAAGGCAGTGGTTCTCTAACTTTAGCTGCATCCGAATCCCATGGAGGATTTGTTAAAATACACATTCCTTATCCACATTCCCAGAGATTCTGGTTTGGCAGCGTTTGGGTGGGGTCTATGATTTTGCATTTCTAACGAGCTTCTAGGGGCCGGCGATGCTAATGAGTCCTTGCACCACACTACGGATAGCACTGCTCTAAGGTCCTTTCGAATTCTGAGTCTATCCTTTCAGAACCTGTCTCAACCATCTGTAAAATGCCTGAAAGCCCAGATCTGGGCCATCAACAGGTGCAAATCACCAGAAAGATAATTTCCTCTTCTCACATCTGCCTCCCTGAGGGTTCCTTCTCCGCCCGCCTCAGGCCCCAAGTCCCCGCACCCATACTCACCCAGCTTTCCCGGGGTCAGGGGACACTCAGGGCCCTGGAAACCGCCCCCAACTCTCCAGAGGGGGCTGCACCGAGCGCTTGAGCGCCGTAACCGCGCGCCTCTCGGGCGCCCGCGGCTCACCTGGAAGGCGCGCGCGCCGGAAGCCCTGGTCGGCGTTGCCCCGCCGCGGGTGGGTGCTCCGAGCGAACGCCGCGTGCACTGCGAGGCTCTTTTAAGCAGGCGCTGACTCGTGCCGCTGGCCTGGCTCTTTCCTGGGGCTTTTAATTCTTCACAGGTTTCAATGTGAGTGTCCAGAGACGCTCCAGCTGTTTGTTGGCTTTGTTTCAGAGAAGCCGCCGGAGGCCAAATGAACTTGGGAAGTCAGAATTTCTCAGAAACCAAGGGCAATCTTTGCTGGCAACCGAGCTGCGGTCACTTCGACTACTTGGGTAGAGGACTCGCCATTTGGCTCCAAAGTTCCCAATTCCTCAGAGGCAGCCTGCAGAGAACCAGGGAAGATGCCCAAAGAGGAGCAAAGTCCTGGAGGAAGCCAGATCAGAGAGAAAGCAACGCACTCCTGATGCTAAAGGCCGCAGGAGTTTTACCCAGCAACTTCTAGAAAGGGCAGGGTGGGGAAATGGAGCAGGCAACAAAAATGAAGATGTGATTTTAGTATACAGATCATAGTGAAGAATTTGGAAAGCAAATAGACTATGCTTACATGCATAGTTTATTTCTGTTTCATTTGCATGGACATGTACGCAGGTTGAGATTTTGTATTACATACATGTATATCACCTGCCAGTAAAGGTACTCCTAGCTTGAGTGGTTGAGTTCAATCAATCCATTGCTTCAGCCTGCCAGCTTCTTCAGACTGTCTGTGAAGAGATACCTTACAATTACTTTCACTGATGAAAGTTTATTAAAAGGTCAAGAGGAAACGTGAGAGATGGGAGCTCACCCTTGCTTGGCAAGAACCCAATTCTGGGATTGCTTCTGAAGTTAACTAGGAAGTTTCTAAGTATGTCTTAAAAGAATAGGGTTGGAAAAATGAAGAGAGGGAAGTGTAATGAGGACTGTCAGGATTTTCTCTTTTTATTATTCAATTTTTTTTAACAAAGAGAACACAAATATGTGTGAACCGAAAACTGTTTTCTTGTTTTGTTTTTCATGAATAAGAAAAAAATGATGCAAGTTGAAAATGGTTTTTCTCAAAAAAAAAAAAAGTGTATTTTATCTACTTTGAATCTACTTGGAATAGTCAAGGTTATGGGGTGTTCTGCACAGAACATCCTGAAATCCTGGATTTGAATGCTAAGACTCACCCTTCAGTATCAATGAGTGTCAGATCTGTCCAGGTTTAACAAAAAATGTGCCACTCATTACCAGAGTGAAGCACAGAGATTCTATGGGCTAGAATATCAAGAAGCTAGAGTAATATACATCTATCTCACATTCATGCCCCACCCAGGCCAAAACTTTGCTACTGTGATGTCCACATACCCTCAGTGTGTAAAGATTTATTAATTGAGATATTCTTTCCCAACCAAGAGTAATACCCCAAGGGAGAAAGGAGGCCTACTTTATACTTCAGGAGAAGGGCGGGGTTTTTCTTCACAATTAGAGTAATATAGTACTGAAGCCAAAAGGAAGTTGTGGGTTTGTGTTTTTGGTGGTTCTTTTGTTGTTTAGAAACTTCTCTAGAAGTTTCTGAAACTGGAACACATTGATGGGGTCAATCTTTCAGTTCCAGTGAAGGCCCCATCCCAAAAGGACATCCTGGAAGGTGTCAAGAAGACTCTCGTGGCCACTTTCGTGTGTTGGCCACAGGCTCTGGCTGTGCCCTGGTCCAGCTGCAGCTGCTGACAGTTTTCTCCAGTCAACTGCAGGTGCACATGGTACTACAGCTCTGCCCTGTGCTTGGGGACCACACATACGCTGCCCGCGTGTGCACTGTCCTGGGCCAGCAATTTCTGCTGCCAGCTGAGAGCACCAAGCCCCAAACACAGGCTCCTCAGACGCCTCCACCTGACCCCCTCCCAGGCTGCCCAGCTGCCCTTGCACCTCCATCTACATTGGCTCCTCCTCCCAGGCACCAGGGCCAGGGACACCCCCATTGAGCTCCAGGCACCCCTGCCCCCTTATTTCTCCAGGACCCTACAGTGCCTTGGGCTCCACTTACAATAGTCCTCCCTTTGTTCCTGACCCCTCATATACACACTAGATAGTGAGGGTGGGAGCTCTGGCCAGGCCCGAGGAGAATGAGGTCAGTGCTCAACATGCAGTCAGATTTAATCCTGGGCTCTGCAGTCAGACAAACCCAAGATCACATCTTGGACAGGCCACTTGCTTGCTGTGTGGCATTTGGGCAAGTAACTTGACTTCTTTGGACTTGTGATAATAAAAGTTCCTACCTCAAAAACAAACAAACAAAAATTACTTGCATAATTTTATTGCAAGTAAAAAGCATTCTACAATAATAGAATTGCAAGTAAAAAGCATTCAATAATAGAATGCTTTTTACTTGCAATAAAATTATGATTTAACTTTCACAATAATGAAGTAAAAGTGGCTCCAGGAATCTACAACTTTTTCCACAGATTTCAACATTTTCTTTCCTTTCTTCTGCTTATAAAATTAAAACAAGTTTTTCCTAAAGAAATTATAATGTGAAACTTATTCACTATTGAGAATTGCATTTATTCTATTAAGGATACATTAACTTAATTTATTTCAGAAAGTAGAAGTTTGGAGCTTCACATCTGAAGGAATTCAGGCACTGAAAGTGCCAACTTTTCAATTTCCTAACCAAATAGAATACAACTGGACTTACATTACTTTATCTGACTGAAGTTTCACTTACCATTTTCTCTACAAAATAAAAAGATATTGAATAAAAGAAAAAGAATCCAAAATTTCAAAAGTGTGGAAATATATTATTTTTTTTCAGGCTTCATCATGATTTATATTCGCCTTTAGTTAACCCAACCTTCACAGTCTGTGTTTTCCGTGGCTGTTTTAAACAAGGAGATAACATCAGAGTAAGAGGTAGCAAATTCTACTCTACCCTGCACTCGTCGACTTCCACTGGGAAATATTGATGGTATGTCTGAAAATGTGAAAATCGTACTATCAGAAATATGCAAGACGATTTTGGATGTGAGCTGTTTTTTTTTTTTTTGAGTCGGAGTTTCGCTCTTGTTACCCAGGCTGGAGTGCAATGGCGCGATCTCCGCTCACCGCAACCTCCGCCTCCTGGGTTCAGGCAATTCTCCTGCCTCAGTCTCCTGAGTAGCTGGGATTACAGGCATGCGCCACCATGACCAGCTAATTTTTTGTATTTTTAGTTGAGACGGGGTTTCACCATGTTGACCAGGATGGTCTCGATCTCTTGACCTCGCGATCCACTGCCTCGGCCTCCCAAAAAATTGCTGTTGGAGGTGGAAGGCTTGAGCCACCGCGACTGGCCGTGAGCTGACTTAAATGGAAAGACGATTAACTTTCTTGTTGACGCATTCAGAATTATTAAAAGAGAAAATAACATTTTTCTTACATGTGACTCAAGGTCCCTTGGTCATGCCTATATACCAACAGATAAAAAATTAACAATTAAAATGCATTATTGATAACTGAAGCAAAATACTTTCCTCTCTGTGTATTAAATAATTCTGGAATATAGTATGCTTTATTTTCTCTCTGTTGAGCTGTGCTGAAAATAAGCAAACATGACTTAGCTACTTGCTTTAAGAAATACCTGCTCCTAATGGACAGGAATATGACTAACCAAAGTGGCTTACTTATCTTCATTACCAGCTTGCTCTAGAAGACTTGCTTCAACTCCTTCATCTCCCTGTGGGCTACAGTTCAAAGCTATTATGTCATGAACTTTGCCAAACCCAAAGAATTTTCTGTCTTGTAAAACCCACCTGAAATTCACCCAGTCTAGGACCTAAACCCTATAAATATCCTCCCTGAGTTCCTTTCTGAGACATTACTAAGACAATCAATATTGCGTTTACATTTACTGCGGTAAGTTGGGTCAACAGGTTCTTCTGAGGGTCTTCCGGGAAACTCAACAGTTGGCAGCACACTGTAATCATGGCCTATTACTTTATGTTGTAGCATCACAGTGGAAGGTGAAGCCACCAGTGTGGGTGGTTGGGGGTAGTAGAGTCAATAAAGGCTAATGAGAGGATGACACAAGAGGTGAGTCTGAAAAAGTCCTAAGTTCAACTCTGCAAGACTAGGGAGCCGTGTCTCTTGAGGAGACACCTTCCACCTCCAACAGCAATTAGAACCAGAAAGCAATGACTGTGCTGTCTGTACTGGATATCTGCCTTTTTTTTTTTTTAGAATTCCCAAAGAACATTCCGTTTCCCCTCCTAGGAAACATTTATTCTATCTCTATAATCTAAAGACAAATGCTATTTTGTCAGTCTCACATCCCTAACCACAGTTCTTTGGGGATGCCCTTGACCCAAGTTTGGCCAGTCACCCTAGGATCCTTGGTTCAAAAAAACTGAGTTTCCATTCCTCAGAAGATAAATGTGACTCTGAAGCCTGATGGAAGCCACATTCCAGTCATTGTGAAAAAGAGTCTAAGGATTAGAGCTGACATGCAGAAAAGAGAGACAGAGAGCTTCAGGGAGTGTTAGAATTGCAAGTTATAGTTATCTTTAATACTTTGTCCTACCCTCAGTTGTGCACATTAGTGAGGAAATAGCCCTCCTTGGCCTAATCTAATTAAGCTGTGTTTCATTCAATAAAATATAATTGCTATTCACCTAGTCATTTTGGTACCTCAGAACCGTCCTGAAGTAACTTAAAAATAAAAGAGCGCCACAGTAGGAAAAGTAAACAGTAATATTATCTGTTTCCATTTGCAATGAAGAGCTAACTACAGGTAACTTCAGAATATCTCATGTCCCACTCAATGAATGAAGCCACATACTTAAATACACACCACGTATAAGGCTCAACAACCACTGCTAAGCAAGCGGGCAAGTTCTCAGTACATCAGGTCACCAAGGAGGGCTTTTAGGAGTAGCTCAAGTTTCAAAAAATATGCAATGCCTCAAACCAATGCTGTTGGGATATTAAAATTGATAATGTAAGAAATGGTTAAGGCTAATTCACTGGTGTAAGTTAAATCTTAAAGGAGCCACTATAGTCTGATGGGTTCTGAACCTGTTTCCTGGCTTTTGTTTTATTAGGTTTTGATGAGATCAGGCTTGACATTATAGTTTCTAAAGAATTGTGTCTCAAAGTCAATAGAGAGTTTTTTCAAAAAATGCATATGTATAGGCCCAACCTAAGACCAATTAAATCAGAATCTCTGGGGAATGGTGCCAGAAATTGAGATATTTTTAGGCTCCCAAAATATCCCTGATTCATTTGAGCAGGTAGAGTTGAGCAATCCTAGTTCAAAGAATTGATTCACATACTCAAATGTACAAAATGCTCATTAATGAACCACAGTGCCCGTTCATTTTGCCCTTGTTATGAGTAGGCCTTTCCATTGAAATCGCTTCCATTAGGTGAATCCTGTAACCGCTACTTCTACCTTTGAAAATATCCTGAGTGTTTATTATTATTGCTGCCTAACAAATAAACACTGGCTTGGATGTCAAGAATCCAGAAAAACCAATGTAGACTTAGGGATTTATATACAATCAAGTAAAAGATGTAAAAGAAATCCCAAGCTAGACACGGTGGGTGGCTCACTCCTATAATCCCAGCACTTTGGGAGGCTGAGGCGGACGGACCATGAGGTCAGCAGATCGAGATCATCCTGGCTAACACAGTGAAACCCCATCTCTACTAAAAATACAAAATATTAGAGGCATGGTGGCTTGCACCTGTAGTCCCAGCTACTCAG